GGGCGGCCGCGGCGCGGACGCTGACGTCGGAGCCCACCTGGATCCCGACGCCGAGGCCGCTCCGCTGCTGATCGGGAGGCTCCGGGCCGGGTCGGGCCGGGCTCGCCGTGGCTGCGGACTGCGCCCCACGCTGCAGGACCTGGCTCGGGGCCCGGCGGCACCGCATCCCGCTGCCCCCACTGCACGGATAGTGGATCCCGCATCCCCACCCGCTGCTCCACCTGCATCCGAACGGGAACCGCCGGGCCGAGAGCCCCACGTCCGAAGGCTGTGAGCTCCACGGGATGGGCTCCCAGCCCGCCGCTCAACAAGTCCCGAGTCCCTGCTGTGGACGGAAAACTAAGGGAACTCCGTTCGCTCAGTGCACTGTTAGCTTCATTCTCACAGGTTCCATTTTTACCAAGGTCTCCTGTGTCACTAGGTATCAATAGGTTTCTTCGTGGGGATTTTTTTTTGAAGAAGGTGCATGTCTACAGGTAGAATTCATTTGACAAACCCAACTATGTTTCTTACAGAAAGAGCCATCGATTAGACGGCCTCGACTCTTGAAAAACTAATGTCCTATTCTGCAAAAAACATTTTCGAATCGTTCCAACCGGCTGAAGTTGGGTCATCGTGGCCCCTTGAAATATCTCCATTGGAATCCAGCGACATTGGCATTGGTCAGAGCGAAAACACGATCATGATCAATTCACTTTCTCCTGTCTATTGTTTTATGCTTATTTTCCCAGCAAAACAATGGAGAGAGTACAAAAAGCAGCAGTGCTTTTATCCCAGGACCGTAATTAATACATGCAAACAATAGGTCTATATACATAGGTAGGAGCAGGAAACCTCCTCACTCATTCACTCACGGAAGGAGGATGCGTGGTTGTCGGCATAGCTAAGGTTTCTGGGCCAACCTATTCTTAAAGTTTTCTTTTTCTGCCTTAAAGATATTATTGTACACGGTCGTGATGTCGACTGCTGTCTGTCATCGGAGCACACACATGTGGTCCACTGCAGGGAAAAAAGTCCACACACCGAGATGCTCATCAGTGAGGTCCATTGTCTAAGATGACTTTCTCATTCCCATCTTGGCTAGTCATTCTGTACAATTAAGTGTAGCTGCTGGCTACGGTTAACTCAGCTGGCCACAGTTCAAAAAGGGTACAGGAAAAAAAAGGCATTTCATCAAAGCAATGTTTCTAACATAAACTCAGACGTATAAATGGCTCTTAGGAATGTTGTCCCCAATTTTAATTGTCATTCACCGAGTAAAAAAAAATACACAGTTGAGTTGATTAAAGTCACACGTTTTAAAATCACATGATTGATCAACTACTATCAGAAGGGTCTTTTTTTCAAGACTCGTGCTTTTTTCTGTGTTCAGTTTATTTTTGCTGAATACAAGGCACGCTGTTAAAATTCGTTAAGAAGTATCTGCACCACTAAAAGATCGAAAACATAAAAGCATTTTGTATTTCTCTGTTTACATGCCAATGTAACCAAACCTTTTCATTTAAATATTTCAATATAAATTTAGGATTAGGATGTTTGAATCTCTTGATACTTGAAGGAGTGTAAAATTTGCAAAAGTGCAGCCTTCTATTTTTTTTCTGTCAAATATAAGCCTACTGAAAAATTGCCAGGTGAGTAGCCTTAAAACAAGTTAGTTGGGTTTTACCAAATTGCTCAGAATTTTTATTTTTTTAAAACAGATTGTTCTCATTTTCTCACCAAAAACATGAGTTGATCATTGCTATGAAATGAAGACAAATACTATCACCAAAGCAAAGAGAAGCACAGCATCAAAACACCTAATGAGTTGGTAAATAAGTGATTTTTGTAAAAAAAAAAAAAAATAATAATTTAAAAAAGGAAACAACCTTGGGCAATAGATTTCATAGAAAGTACTTGGTTATCTTTACACCTTTTCTTTCAAGAGCCAGCCCGCTGTGTTTGACATAAATTATATCATTTTGTGAAACTGTGACAAATGGTTCTAAATTTTAGTCTGTGTTCCTAGAGAGGGAAAGGGTCTCCAGCTGGCTTAACGGAGAAGCTGTTACTTGCCCTAATATCATACCACTGGTATATCAAGCAGTGGCCTCACAGACCTGAACGTAAAACACCCTTCCCTAAAACACAAGCTTTTCAATTACCTGCAGGCAAAAAAAAAAAAAAAAAAAGAATGCCTAGATTGTTTTCGCACTTCAGACAGAAACATTAATCAAGCCAGCATTATAAAGAAGGTCCGTTGAGTTCACTTTTTTGGATACTTAACTCTATCAAATCCATTAATTAAACATTTATTGAGCGCCTAAGACAATGAGCTTCTTTTTAGAGACAGGGGAAAGGATGACTGGCTTCTTTTGATTAGGTCCCTTAAATTCATGTAAAATGGTAACTGAATCAACCCGACTTGGAAATAAGCAGAAATGGTAGAAAACAAGCTGTGAAACTAGGGTGCGGTCTCCTTCGGACTCTATAGCCTAATCCCTTTGGGGAGAATTTCCTCCCAGCAGAAAGGTAAGACTCAATAATATTCCGTGCATTTCAAAACAGTAAATCCCGACTCTCCAAGAAGGCCTGTTAAAAATATGTCTTTATGACAACGTGAGAACACCGGGCCATAATCAGGATCAGCTTTTCATTTAGCAGTTCATCAAGAGGGCTATTTATGGATTGGGACTTTTGATTTGCAATACATCATCTCAGGGTTCAGTGTTATCTTTTGATTTCTTTCCAGCTGAACAGGCTAAGTAGTTGTAAATGCCTCTTGTCAGACTACATGGTTGGCTATTCTCACACACAGAAGTAATCTAGGAACCCACTGCGCAAATTCGGCCGAGAGCCACTGTGGTAAGCTTGCAGCCGATGTGTACTGCAGAGCAAGGGAGGGGGTGGCGAAGGTGGCGGAGGCGATGGGCATGGTGGTCGTGGCAAGGGCTACCGTGGTAGTCCCGTTCCTGGTGGTTTCACTTATGCCAGGGACACCCTTCAGGCTTGGAGGTAAGTGTTCGCAAGGCCTTCATTGGTTTGTCTTACTAAGGAAGTTCGTTTCATGGCTACCATAGCAAGTGTGAAGGGAAAGCAATGGAGACATTATCCATGATATTCACAGAACACACAGGTACCTGTTTCTCAGTGTTTCTAAGAACTAAGACAAATCCCGCCGCATTGCTAAGAAATCATGCCTCAAAGACACACCCTCCCTGATACACGCGTGCACACACACACACACCACACACACACACCCCTCTATTAAAAATTTCAAAATGGTTGCAGATATTTCATTCACAAGAAGGTGAAAGGCGTTTCCCATCGCAAGAAGGATTAACTTACCAAAGGATTCTGGGACTGCAGATGTATACTGCGGCAAAATCCTAAATTCATCGAAAAAAAAAATCATTTCTGGACTCCAGCTGCTAAAAATAATAGAATTATAGTAAATCATGGATAAGATTAAAACAAGCCATTTTCACATTCCAAAGTGCTCAGGAAAAAAAAAAAAAAAGATTCTTTTAACTCATTTCTTAAACAATGCAAATTTTCAAGTAGCTTTTCTTTCCAGAGCACGCAGCGCCATGAAATCGATAATTTTTGATCTTTTGGTTAGTAGGCAACATGGTGAGCTATTGCAGGGGACTGCAGGCAGCAGACATGTTCTTGTCAGCTGAAAATTTTCATATTGTTTTTGAATCCATTGAGATTTGTAGATGTGATGTCACCAGTTTTTTTTGTTTTAGCCCACACTGGGCTATAGGGACGCAAACCCTCAGTTTATCGACATATGCTTGTCTATTGCTTTCTATATTATCAAAAACAGGGAGTCTTACTGGATCCCAAACAAAAAATTATGTAAAAGGAGTGGCTGGTGTGATTATAATCCCATCATGCAGGGTCCACGGTTCCCATTTACTGAAATTTCGCAGAGGGCAACTTCTTAAGAACATCCCTGCTGTGCAGAGTGAAAAGCATGAACAAACCAAAGACAGAATTCATCTGTGTTTATATTTTACAAACAATGAAAAACCTACTCTTTGTATGCCTTTTTTCCCCACCTTATTATTTCATGAAAACTGCAGCATTTTCCCCGCCCCCATCCAAACACTCACCACCCCAGCTCTGCAGTATTCCGTCCCTCTTTTGCTTCTCCTTCGCCTTCTTTTTCGCTTTCACAAATTCTGCACGCGCCATCTTTGTGTGGGGTGATTCTTTGCTAATTTCAGTTACCCATTCTCTTACAAATCAGTTCAGAAATAGAAAATTATCCTGTGCTTTGGGGCTTAATTTGCTTAAATTTCTTTCAGTCTTCCCTTCTGACATAGAAAAATGGAAACGACAGGGTGGGGGGGGAGAGCCAAAAAAAAAAAAAAAAAGATATTTCTATTATTGCCATAACCTGTTGTATACAGTGGTGATAAAAATATTATTAACATAATAGCAACAGCTGCAGCCTGAATAGAAGCTATGAGATAATTAATGTGCTACAACAAATTAATTTGCTGCAGGTGCTTCTGCTGTGAACTGAGTAACCCATGCCATATAAAGTCTAAATACAATTATGATTCCCCCCCCACACTAAAACAAAATACTGAGCAAAATGTCCTGTTCGGTAAATACGCCTATTGTCAAAACAAAAAACCCTCCCTAGTCCTTTTTGTCCTCCCCCCCACCCCCCTGCACCTACTCATCCTAAATGGTTTAGTCATCAGTGGGTAAGTACGGAGTTGCATCGGGTATTAGTCTGTATTAGAGTGTATCTACTAGGGAGTAGACTATGGCATTTTTAGATGTATGGAGGTTTTCTGCCATGTCTTATCTGTAAAACATATGGACAAGCTATGAATTTCCTTTTAAAAATAAAAATGCTTTATAATATGTAAGAACTATATTGGCTTTAGGACAAAAATTAGATACATCCATATGTGTAACTGTAAGAAAAGTGTTAAGCAGTTCCGTATCTAAACTAATATTTTTTTAAAAAATCATCTATCTCATAAAAGAAGTGTGTTTATAGTGTGGCGTTCTTTGTTGATAGGAAAGAGATTTTTTTTTTACTTTCACTTGCTGTCCAGTTGAGTGTTTATGGAGAATAGTGACTGGTTATATCACAAGTGTGCGCCAGAAATACTTTGTATCAGGGAACACAGGCAGGGGCCTGGAAAAGGTCACAGTGCCAGAAGCAAATGTCCATTTTCTCTTTTGCATCATTCAGCAAAAAAATAACTTCGGGCCTAGAAAAGTAGAGGAACATACAGATTGAATTTTTTTTTTTTTTTAACTACTTGGCTGAACAGTTCTCCTAGATTAAGGATGGAATCATTTCTAATTTTTTCCCCAGTAATGCTGGGAGAAATGACACTTTTGTTTGTATTGCCCCCTTCATTTTTTTGTTTGTTAAAGAGATAAAAAGAAAAAAAAAAAAAGAATTGTATCATGGTCAAATTTTTAAGGCTATTAGGTATTAAAACTTATCCTATTGGGTGATTTTAACATTTCGTTCTATATCTTACAATAGTTTATACAACGCACAGATTTTTTAATAGCATTTTGATAGAGCTTTGTAGAAATTTTAATTCTAGGAGAAGGTATACAATTATTCAATCAGAATTTTGATTCTAGCTATACCCAAATGGGACATTGCATTTGCAGGAGTGTTCTTTAAAATGTATTCTATTTCAAATATTCTTTGTGGGTGAAGAAGCACCACTCTTAGTCGTCCCCGTTTTATATACAGAGGTACCGCAGGTTTGTCACACGGTTTCTCGTGCAGCGGCGGGCGTGCGTTTTACTCCATCTTTCTTTTGTTTAATCCCACGCTTTTTCTTCATAATCCATTTTCAAATCTGCTCATGTTTTGCATTTACAATGACAAAATCTGGGCTGGGGGGAAAAGCAAAAGATCCAAAGGCCATATATAAAAGAGCAGAGACAAATAGCCAGTTCTTTGATAAAAATAAGAAAAGTTGATAGGTATGGAATGTATACATCTCCGCTGGGATTTACTAGTCATTTTCCTATCAGCTGACAATGTCATTTCTACCCAGACGGAACTCTCTGAAATCACATCGTTTCGTAATTACAAAATCAATTTGAGAACCGAAGAAAAGTGCTTTAATTGCTGTTGCTTTGAGGACTTGCCCATTCAAAATGTTTTCCTCTCACTGTGAAGTTCATTGGAAACTAAATTTTATTAGAAATCAAGATATTAACTATCTAACGCACATACTCCTCTTTCCTATTAATGTTCTCTTTTTGTAGCAAACTCATCCCATCCCTTTCACCCCTCCCTCAGGTGCTTTATTTTTCACAACCTTTAGTCTAGGTTGTTCAGTTCAAGTGACATGGTGCGGGTTTGGAACAATAAAAATGGTAGTTGTCCATAAGTCAGATTGTTTTGAGGGTGGTTATATAGGAAAAGCTAACCAGTAGAAGTAAGTTGATTCTGTTTTTGACTATTTAATTCCATCATACTGCAGTTTATACTGAGCTCCTCTTCTAAAAATAAACATTTCTGAAGATTTTAATTGTGTCGCCTTCTTAGTAATATAATTTTGTAATGCCTCCCTCAGGTGTAAATTTATTTAATATGTATGTACCACTGTTAACACATATATTACATATCAAGGAAGCTTGACTTCTTTTTTGTTGTTGTTGTTTTAAGGTAAAAAGTATATATAATTGTAGTATTTTACTTTCTCATGCCAGCTCAGCCTCATGTGTACTTTCTGGGTTACATTTATTCTACTCAGCATCACGGTTCTAAAATTCTGAAATCTTTACCATCAACGATGTCATCCATTCTGAATTGGTGTAATTTTGTTTTTTAAAACTAAAAGAGCGTTCTTTATTGTTGTTGCTGATTCTTGCAGGATCCTTTAGGGACTTATGCCTGGACCCTTTCTATTAACTGACTTTAATTAAACCTCCTCTGGTCAAAACTGCCATTCTAGCCAAGGTACCTAAAATAATACTGATTTTTGGAGCGTCTCGCATCACCATTTTCTCTTGATGTTTAACTGTTTTCTGTGTTATGTACAGATATTCTCTGCCTTCCGCTTCTTTAATACTGTTTTAACAAGGAAGTGTTGACAAAGGATAAGACTGTCTTTTCAGTGTCAAAAGATTCCAAGATACTGCCTTTAGTAATAGTTGTGGTATCCCTTGACAGAATCTACATGCAAAAAGCTACTATAAATTCAGTATTGATTTGAAAGGAATTTATGTTTTATTAGTTCCAGAGAATCTCCATGAATTTGAATACTGTTTGCAAACGTCGTGAAAGACTCACATCTCAGTGGATGGGCAATGTTTAGGGCCCATGTGGGGCCTGGGAACCCTGTTGAACTTGGTAGTTAGGAAGCCACTGCAGTAAGGAATCCAGGAAATACCAACCCCACTGAGTCTCTGCGTTGCCTCTGCAGTAGCAGTCACAGCGATGGTAGTGAGAGTCACAGTGGTGAAAATGCTATCTTCCATTTGTTTCGATTCTGCTGGGGCCAAGGCTTACACCCTCCCCAGCCCCAGAAAGCATCACCCTTCCCATATGACACAACTTCAGAAAGCTCACGGGAAAATGGAATTAAAGTGTGAGTTTATTTTGGTGACAACACATTTTGAAATTCATGCACAGTTTTCCCATCATACTCATTTGCCATGAACTTCAAGACCCCCCTCGTACAGGAGCTCGTACAGCACAACCAGTGAGATAAGGGAATGTTATTTTCCCCAGTTTCCATTTGTGGAAATCGACACTTAGAGAAATTAAGGCATTTTGCCCAGGTTACAAGCTAAATAAACAGAGCTAGAATTCAAACTCTAGATCTGCATAGCCGTGTGTAGCTATTTGAATTGAAATGAATTAACACTAAGATAAATTCTTCAGCTTCATTAGCGCATTTGAAGCCACGTTAAGGACCAGATTGCAGATTGCAGAGCACAGACTAGGAGGAAGGTCTCCACCCTCAGAGAAGACAAAGAAGTTCCCCAGGTCAGGCTGGACAGGTGAGTGCAAAGCGTATACTGTAACCACTGGCTTTCGCTCTTCTTACCCGTCCATTCCTTTACGGATTCATTCATTCAGCAAGCATTTACTGAGTCCCTGCTATGTACCCAGTACCGTGCTGGACACTGGAGAGTTAGTTCCCTGGGTTGTAGTCAAGAGCAAGTAAAATAGACATAAAAAGAGCTTTTTCAGCTCTCGGGTTCTAGATTTTTTTTTTTTTTTTTTTTTGGAAAGCTTTTTGTC